AGTTTCCCCAGACTTACTCTGTTAGCACCATTGTAACTTCCTGTCAGTCAATTTATTTAGGTATGAAAATATGCCTTGATTATAAAGACAAGTATAAATTTAAGATAGGTAGGATTCAGATACTTGTGCAGTGGTCACTACAGGAAGTATTTGATTCTGAAAAGTGCTTTCATTCATGCACAGACTGAACTGTCATTTATGAACATTCACTTAGAATCTGAATAGAATCCATTGATAAGAAGGACTTCACAAACAAAAAGAAAAATGCAATTTCTTTGGAAATAGAAAAATTCATAGAGAAATATAGAGAAAAATAAAAATAGAGTAAGCATTTCCAAAGTTCATATTTCTATTTTTAACTTATGCAGGTAGTCTTAGAATATATTGTGCAATAATATTGATATCACTTGTGTGCATCATATTTTTGTTTTAAGTACACATTTTCTCAAGATAGATATCGAGTAATTTATGGAAGAGTTCATATGGATTTTATCAGATTCTGACTACTAGTTGTAAGAGTACATTTAAATAGATCAGTTTAACTTATATTTAAAACTTCAGCCCGTGTACTCAGAACTACTTATCGTGAGTCTTATGCCATCTAAAGATCACAATGTTGCTTTGATACTAATGTGAAGAATCAGAGCATTTCTTCTACTTCTCTTTTTATATGAACTGTGAGTTATACGTAATGGCCAACAGTTTGCTTCCTGCCTGCGTGCAGTAGGAAATACAGCTACGTCAGTGAAACTTTCATTCCTCAGATTCTGTACAATTCCTCTTCAGTTGTCAGTAATACAGAACAGGTGTAGTCCTTTACGTTTCCTTTGATGCTGTTCCTGTTGCTGTCTATCTGTAACAGAGCACATTGTTTCTCCTAGCCTACAAAACTATGCTTCCTTACGGTGGAAAATAAGTGCATGACAGTATGGCTGATACATGTCTACATTTTGCCCCAGCATAAAATCAGGCTCTGGTAAAGGTATGCACTAACATCTGGGAGGTTCATGCAAGTCTGTCAGTTTAAAATTCAGTTTATGAACCCAAAATACATGCAAGAGTAAATACATATTACTGGCGTGAATGAGACACAGCATCCCGTATTTCTGTGCACAATGGAATTGAATCATTCTTTTCTGAGAGAGTCCTTTGTCTCCCTGGGAATGGTCATGGCACAAAGACTGGCCTGCCTGGAGTGTTAAAGCTTCCTGTCTACTCCCAAATCCCTCTGTGTGGAAGGCTCTGGCTTTCAAGGTAGGCTACAGATTTTGTCATTGTCATGAGAAGGGAATAGTGATAAAGTCATTCTTGATCCTTGATAACTTCTGTCTCCACCTGTCCAGTTGTAGATCTGTCACAAATTGTAGATAAAATTACTTAATAATGTATTCTTTTCAGCAAGTGATGGAAGCTAAAATTTTCTAAAATGATTGGAAAATATAGTCAGTAGTACTCTGTTATTTCAGTGGGTCAAACTGAAATAGCAAAAATTAACATGAGTATAAATTTTGCTAGGTTGCTCCTTATCCACTACCTAATGTTTCTTTAAGAAGCAAGTCTTGTAAGTATTCTTACTGATCATGTTATGTTGATGGTGCATGTTATCATCTTTTCCAGTAAGGAAAATGTTTTTCTGCTAAACTTAAGCTTTTAATATTGATCAATACATTGAAAGAAGGGTGTGAGCGTGTCCCCCCCACAATAAAATATAGCAGGTATTACTGATATCTCAAGTATATTTTTGCTTCATCTGTATGTGACTGATGCAATATAATAATCCATGTTGTCTTGACTGAGACATCTAGTGGTTAATAAATTCATCCACCTTTCTTGAAAATTGGATAATACCCAGTGTACTATCAGCAATGTCTTACTGTCATTTGGCTAGTTCCAAATACATATGGGGTTCTTGTGTCTTTCATTCTGTAAATCTCATTTTAGAAGAAGGCCACAGCCTCCTTTCAGTTGAAAACAGACAAATCTGTCATTGGCATAAATGACTTCTAGTCAACTGAGTACAATGAATCTCTATACATGACTCTCAGTAGTGAATTTTGTTCTCAGTACTCCATTTTCCACACCTCATTATGAGGTATGATTTAGTACTTACAACATCTGAGTGGATTTTTTATGAACAGTATTGTTGCTCTTATTTTATGTTGCATTCATATCGTTATTTTTTTCTATTTCAGCTTGTCCCACTGAAATAACCTTGCACAACAATGAAAAACTTTAAAATAAACCTAAAATAGACAGAAATAATATTATCTAGACAAATAGCGCGGAATGTGGTTTTTGTTTCTGTCACTAAATTTTGTTATGAAGTAGGAACAAACTGTCTTTGCCAACATTGTGTTATTAGATGGTATTTCAGAGTAATTTCTTTGAGAGATAAAAACATCAGAGTTTGAAAATACGTGCCTTTCTTTGGAAAGTTCAAGCATCCACTCTTTGGAGAATCATCTTATATATGAATCTAGGCCAGGATGGTTGATTTCTTTGTGTAAAATGGTGTGAAGTTTCCAACTATTAATCTTTCTGTCTCTAGTTTGAGTAACTTCCTCTTCGAGTACGTGTTTCTGAAACTTTTTTTTCTCAAATACACCAAGGTGACAAGGTTTGCTTTCTCATATTTCACTTGCTATAACAAATCATTTACCCTTTCCCATGTGGCAATAATATTTATATGATAGCGTACCTCTATACATTGGCATAAGAGGCTACAGAAAGGAAAGAAGGGAAAGTGAAGGGCTTGGAGATGGAAGCTCCCAGAGCATACTGCAGATGTCCCTGTCTGGTGGCGAGGGAGCAGCAAGCCTAACAGCTCTTGGAGGTGACCAAAATATCTTTCAACACCCCAAACGGATGGTCAGAGGCATTTGCCCCTCAAGAAGATTGCTGTTAGGCACAGTCTGCCCACACAGAGAGAGTAGGGCAGAACTGTGCAGTTGGGTTCCATGTATTCCTCTTTGGTCTCATCTAGCAATTTTATTCTTACTCTGAGTAAAGTTTACATGGCTTGAACTGGAAGGTTTCTCATTGGGAAGTTTACAGCTGTAGGGGTACTGTTCTGCAGGGCTCTCCCCACTTGGTCCAGCCACACACATCCTGCAGGTATTCCTGGCATGGAGTAATGTAGAATCATGCTTACAAATCAGGGGTACTAAGAACCACTTAACACATCATGGTTTTTTCTTTCACATACATCTTTGTACTGATCTCATTTTAGTATTTGATAAATCCATTGTAACAAATATCGTACTGTTTAAAATATTGTTTGGTATTGAATGCATTTTGGAGTCTCTTTCAAATTTAAACCTAGGTTTATTTTGAGACTTAGCATCCATCCTTTTTAAGAGAAAGCGTTCTTTCTGCTACTGTAATTAAGAAGTGAAGGATGCAATAAATTTACCAAACATTAGAAGAAAAGAAGAAAAAAAAAGAACTCGGATGTGGTGATAGGGCATTTGATCACTTCCAAGTGTGGTTTTCCCGAAACCTGTGCAAAAATCTTCTGTCTTACATTGATTTTGAGCTGGTTACTAGTTTTTTTAAACAACTTGATCTCTTGGGGTAGAAATTCACCCACATTACTCAGTAGCTTTGTTACTAAGTGAATTAATGTCTTGTGTTCTCCAAGATAGCATACCCTGGCCAAGTTACATTTGAGATATATTACAGTTCTAAACTTGAAAGTTGTTGGAAATTGTACACATAACAAGGTAGTGGAATGGAAATCCCTTATCTTAGCAGATTTTCTGTTAGAATAAAATAGTTTTTTCTAAAATTTCTCAGAAAATGAAAACTTAAAATCCACTAACTCACTCAAATTGAATTTATATTATTTCAATTAATTGAAGAAATCTGATGCTGAAACCAGTTGTTAAGTTTCTTTTTATGTTAATTGTAATTGCCATTCATAAAATTACTTACACAGCGCCCTAATGTTTCAGTTTAAATACACATTTTTTGAGATTTCAAAATTTGTTAATAGACTGTGGAACAAATCAACACTTCCTTTTACTCTAGTTTCTCAAATTATTTCCACTGTTTTAATTGAGTATTAAATACAGTTATTTTAAATATTAGTCATTTTTGCATACCTTCCTTCTCCTTAACAGAATCACTAAGTCATTTTTGTGTGTTTGATTGATTTTTAATTTGATCTTCTTATCCATCTCCTTGTATGTGTTCTGGAGGAATACTGATTTACCTCTTGCCCTATGCTTGAGGCTTGTGGCTTTGCTATGCTGTGACTCCAGCTGACCAGTGATTACTGTTTGTTTTATACAGAAAATACACTTATGTTCAGAACAGGTTAGAAGTTCAACAATCTAATTGAAAACTATTCTTTCCTTGCTGTCTCTTCTGTGAACAAGGTTGTTTCCTTCTGAATAGGCTGGAAGCATCCTTTGAATAATACATACATACTCTAATAATACTGCATGTTATAATAAATTTATATGGTGCCCTATGGGTACTACAGTTGGGTTATTGAGCACATGCCAAGGACAGTTCTGTTCATGTTATCAATTTGTGGATGACTCCTACTGTAATACAGTAAAGCTAGCCTTAAGGCAGCATAGAAAATATTACAGCTTACAGATTTATCGAGTGACTTTAACTAATGACAGGAAATAGACTCTCTTTTAAGACATTTCCTCATTTAAATGAGTCACCAAGAATGTGTCTAGCACTTCCTTTTTGTGCAGCAATCAGTGTGGTTGATTTCCGTATTATAGCAGCTGGTCTGCAGTGGCAATTCCCTGACCCTGTGAGAATCAGGATTTCTCAACAAATACCCAAAATCAACTGGTAGGAAATTAGCTGGAGAATTTCAAAGTGTCTCTCCTAACAGAATGTAAAAGCGAATTTCATGTACAGCTACATTATTGCTACCTGGAAAGAAATAAAGTTCAACATCAGTGATTCAGCTGAGCCATGCTAAAAGTTTACAGACTTTAAAGAAAAGGTTAATTTTTATTTTCTTTTACCCACAGGTCTACCCACGGATAGCGCCGGCATTTTGGCACTACCTGCGGGTAGAAGTGAGTAGCGAGTATTTGAATACTCCCACATCTTTACTTTATAGCTTACTAGTGCTTACTGACCTCCTAGCTTGTCTATTGTGCAAAAATAGTTAGCTGCCATTCTAGCTGTCATTTTCTGTGAATGTAGTCTTGTACTAATTCCATATTATTTTGACTACAGTGTAATTACTAACCTAAGTCACAGAGATGTGATGTGTCTATATGCAAGACTGAGAGCAGAAAAATTGATATCTAAATCAAGGCCATATCATACATTGTGACTATAGCACAAAATCAAAGTACTGAAATCCATACCTGCACCTTCTTTTATAAACACATTTTACATTCATGAGAAGAATTCGGAGCTTCAGTTTTGCTGTATCATTTTTGTTAAGTTTGTACAACTCAACTTGATATCATTTCTCCCCTCTTTTGTCCCCCAGGAGCATGAACAGCTCAGCTATTCCTCCACAAGGTCCAAGGCTCCAAGTGTTATCATCACAGGTCTCAAGCCAGCCACCAAGTATATATTTCATATCAGAGTCAGGACGGCAGCAGGATACAGCGGCTATAGCCAGAAGTTTGAATTTGAAACTGGAGATGAAAGTAAGTTTTACTGAAAGGAAAAAAATCAAGTACAATAGAAGTAGCATTCAGTCAGAATGTACAGTACAGTCAGAGATTGAGAGTTTAAATGGCTGAATCCATTCCATATATTTATCACAGAGTAACCACTGCTGTATTACAAGAAGTAAGCCTTAGCCTCACACTTCTAGATTTATTTTTCTCAAGTAACAAATAGAAATTTCAGTCCACCACTGCAACTGAAGGAATGTTTGTTTCTGCAAGATCCTCTGATTTGCCATAGATCCATTCTTCATTTAAAGAAGGCCTTCCTTTTAACCTCTGGAATTATCCTGTGTGAGGTTTCCATATTACTTAAGTCCAGCAGCTTCATGCAGGTTCTTAGAACATATTGATGGACTTGTTTCTCTATAGCTTTTAATGCTCTTAGAATATAATAAAAAATAACAAATTTATATGTATTTCAACCTATAACTTTACTAAATTTGCCAGTGAGAAGCAAAAATCCCACATTCTTGAAGAATATGAAAAAAGGCTCTTACTTTGGACAATTTTATATGTTACATATTGCCTTGCACCTTCAAAGAAACCATGAAGAAGATATTTACAAGCATTTGAGATAAAATGAGTGTAGTAGATACAGCACTAAAACACTCGTTAATGAAATTGCTTTAATTAACCAATTATGTACACTGTGTTTTTCGTTAGAGTTTTGGAATTCAAGTTACTTAAGCTAAAGTACAGACTCAATACTATACTAGTATTTTCAAGAGGACCCACGAGTTTGTGTTCCATTTTCATTGCTTCTTACCTTTGATCTCAAAAATGTTTTACGGACAGTTTTCCAAGTACTTAATGCCAAATTGGACTTTTAAATTTTTTCTAAGTTAAGCCAATTGGATTGATAAGGAATTAAGCACTTGGGTGCTTTCAGGAATTCTAGTACTACCTGTTTGCATCTTGTGATGCAAAAAATACTAGCCTTTAGGCACAATGGGTTATAACTGTTATGAGAAGTAAATGGTATTTAAACCTCTATGAGCCTATGTTGTATGTGGACAAATGCGACTTACTCATCTAAATTAGGAAGACTATTGCCTGATTTCTGTCATGATCACTATTGATAAAAACATCTCAAGACTGTGAAAGTCCATACATGCTTACCAAACCCCTCATCTTTTTATCATTATCCTTAATGCAACTGACTTGGCGGGCTGCATGGTGAGCTACAGTAGTGTGCTAATCCAATTTATTTATTTATTAATTTTTAACAAGAACAAGTAACTAAAGCAGTAACCTACAAAAAGTTGAGTTAGTTGAGTTAGTTAACTTGATAAAGTACTGTAGACTTGGATCCAGCTAAGCCAGTGTTATCACTGTAGATGTTACTGTATTCTTTATTCACCCTTCCAAGTATCAAATGTCTGAAGAAGCTCAAATCCCTATAGACTTTCCATAATGCCAAAAGTCGAGGGACTGCGTGTATTGAAGCACCTTTAGGTCTAAAATCATGAGAGAAAAGACAAAAAGGACTAAAGATGGTGCTGTGAAAAGCCTAAAAGATAACTTAGAAGCTTGAGTTTTTCTCCAAGTTCACTGGATGCAGAGAATGACTGGTTGGGACACATGGTTCTGTCCTCCATTTTGAGACAGAACAATAGGTCATAGATTAAAGTGGTTTAAACGATGCTATTACGAGTTTCTCTCAGAAAAAGTATCGTTTTCTCTCTCTGGGAAATACTGTTGCCACACCAATATTAATATGAGCTATTTGGTGTAAAAAAAAGAAATGGTTAATTACTTCACATCATGTTTTTTTCAAATTTTGATCTCATTTTGAAGAAACATTGGATTTTACAATATAAGATGATATCATAAATGATGATTGATTTTAGATGTCTGTCTTCCTATTGTGTGGGAGCACAAGTTTTCTATAGAAAAAGGTCTGTATTGTAAAAAATATATTTCAGATTTCAACACTTAAATGTTAAATGCCTTCATGACTTCTAAGTATTCACTGTGAATCTTAATAGTAAAACATATACATTATATATTTTCTGTTTACCAACATTTATTGCTTAGGCTTATTCCTGACTAAAAGTATTTAATTTGTTACAAAATGTAATTCTTGTGTGATTGAAAGGAAATATGAACAGAGGAAATGTAGGCTTTGTTTATGATCACAGAGATGGGGGGTAGAAGGAAATTCTTTAGCTCAGTTTGAAATGGTGCTAGATGAATTCCTCTGTTTAATTGAAAGGTTGTTCAAAGGCCTGTTACAACCGTAAGTATTACTTTAAATTTAAAAGGAAAAAAATAAGAAGTGTACATGGTGGTAAATATTACTTATTTCAAATGGAAGCAGTGCTCAATGACCAGTCAAATTATACCCTTATACTCTCCAAATATCTTACTTCTTCAGAGCAGTGTATTGGAAGTAGGCCTATTCTAAGCTTTAATGCACTATCAGATTATTGTGGTTATTCGTTTGAACTCCTTTCATAACATTAACAAAACCTCTGTAACTGAAGTTTTTCCAGTCAGCTTATGAAAGCATATTGAAATGTAACATCTCCCATAAACAGTCTGGACTTACAGTCTTTCAGCAATGGGCAGCTCAGCGTATTTAGAGGCAGAAGGTTCTATCATTTAGCCCTTACACTTTAAAATTTGTCGTGTATTTATGACCCGATTTTGTTTTTTTTTAGCTTGGATTTCATAACCCTCTTCTGACAAATCAAAAAAATCTAATACTATAAAAACATGTATTTTTCATCTAAATGTGAATAGGCCATTTTTGAGGATACTCTCATCTTTCCCATAAGTAAAATAAATGCTCTGTCCCTCTAGAAGTCATTTTACATAAATATGACATAGAGTCATTGTAGCTCTCCAAAATTTTACCATCCTTTCTGAACTATGGCATCAGAATTGAACCTGATATTGAACTGAGCAGGAGAAGAAAACCTGTTTATGATGCAATAAACAATCATAACACTACTTACCTCCTATTAGTTTAGTTTTACTTATAGATCCAAGCGCTTGCTGTTCAAATAGAGGATTGCATTACACAACTGATTGACAAAACAACATTTCTGTGGATACTCTTGTATTCCAAGATACTGACCTACTTTTAAATGTAGTGATTGAGAAGGGTTGTGCTTAGACTTATACTGAATGGTCAGTTGAGTGTACATAAATGATAAGTCACATTTGCTGGCATGCACCAATCTTACAGAGCAATCCAAATCAAGCTATGTAGTAATCTTTTATCATTTACTACTCTGACAATGTGTATCATTCAGCAACAGCTGAAGTTTTTCTAACTTTTTAATATATATTGTTCTTTATTATTCTCTAAGTAATAAAAACTCTAAATAATATTAGACCAGGACAGACTCTTACAGCTCCCTCAAACCCTACCTATTGGAAACAAGTCACTTTATGAAAATTCCACACTTAGAATTTTTTTTTTTTGTAGGCTTTCAATTAGCCAGATTTTAAGTTAATGTGAGCTATGCTGATTTCATAGGAAGTTAACATTTTCATTAAAAGACTAGGAAGAATAGAGTCTTTAAAAAGTATTTGTTTTCAAAATGAATTTTATCCACCAACAATCTCATAAAAATTTCAATAAATACTTCAGGTTTTGATGTTTTACATGTTAGAATATTAGCATCTAGAAGAAAAATTTAGGGACCGATTCTAGGAGAACAACCAAAGGTATTCCATTTATCTTGTTTGAAAATTGATATATCTTGTTAATGAATGGTAGTACAGTGAGCAATTTTTTAAAGTAATGCAACAAATGTTGAGTATTCAGTTGTCAGATTTGTCTATCAATGCCTTGGGCAGAACAGTGCCATCATGCCTTCTCCAGGTTACTGGTTGAAACACTATCTATGCTGCTTCAGCTCTGTAGGATAAAATGAGATACTTCATTACTAGGAACACCAAGGAATTTTGGTACAATTATTAAATGTAGTGCATGAAACAGAAAGATCAACTGCGTAGGAGCCATGAAAAAGCAGTCATGCAATGGTGGTCAGTTTTTTAGGAAGCCCTCAAACCTTCTGACCAACAAACTGAGCCAATCATCACTTGGAGAGCATGATAATGGAGAAAGAACTCTCCCTGATGCAGAGACAGCTAAGAGAGTAGCATTTGTAATTCCTGAAGGAAAATATAGTTATCTAGAAAAGTCAGAAAAATTGTCTTTTCAAGGAAGTAGGGATGCTGGAATGGATGCTGTGAGAGATTTCCTTTCACTATTATAACTAAGAGGCTGTTGCTGGGAAATTTCCATGCAGCACATTTGTAAAGCTAGTAACTACAGCTTTTGAATATGTTCCTCAATGCCATTTTTAGCAGTCACCCTGTTTCAACAAGGTGGGCTTTTCTTGTTTGGTTGGTTGGTTTTTTAGATGTATCGTTCAAAGCTTTCTTTTTTCTGTTTTTTTTTCCTTTTCTGAAGGAATGTTTCTTACATTCTGAGTATCAACTCAGAGGCCTTGGTGCCTACGGGAATCTATCTGTAAGAGATTGAACAATTTACTGCTGGTAGGCAGTGCAGTGTTTCCATGCTGTGACTGTCTTTTGCAGGATTTGTTCTGAATCCAAGCGTAGTTTCCATACCCAACTTCCCATCATCAGGAAAGAAATTTGTATCTGACAGAAAACTTGGCTCATCTTAGAAAGGGTTTAAGGGGCAGAGTTGCATGGGTGCAGTACAGGCTACTGCTTCAGCTGAACAGAGTGTGGCAAAAGTAACCACACTGTGATTTAAAAAAAATCAATGTAGACTTTTATATGACAAAACTACATTAGATTCATAATTTTAAAAACAAAACGAAAAACAGAAATTATAATAGAGTAACTCGATATAAGGACTGTAAGAAATTAATTGGTCTGAAAAACTCTGTTCTTGTGGAAAAAGTAACTTTAATTTCCTTGATATAGATGCAGATGGTGATTTTCTTGTACTACCAGATTTGTTAATCCTCATGTTCTTCCTTCTATTC